GGGCCGCCCCGGCCCAGGGGCAGGACCTTGATCCCCCCCCCCCGATTCCGGTGACATTTAATCCTCCGGGTGACGAAGTGTTTTTAGGGGGCGTTTTCCGGCGCAGCTTTAGGCCCTTTACGCCTGGTGCGGGGCAGCCCGTTTTCCCCGGTAACGAAGGAATCCGTGCGTATTTTCCAGCAGTTACCAAGCCGTCGACGCTAACCCCCGATGCCTGGATATTTATTGGGTGGGAAGCAGGATTACAATACCTTTGAGAGCACAACTAGCTACCAGCCACGGTGGGTCACGCCCCTCGGCGTTAACTCCCCCCCCGCCCCCCCAGCGTGTTACAGAGGAGGCCGGGTTCGGTTTTAGCACGCGCGGTTCCGCGTACAAACCGACATTTCGCATGCTGAGAGCTGGGCTGTGCTACATTCCGAGAGGTCAAAAAGTCTTCCCGATAGCGAGAGGCGCGTACCCAATCGCTGGGATTTATTAAAAGGCTCAAATTTCGTACAAAAACCCGCTGTAAATTAAGACAAAGGTAGATTAAAACACTTCAGTTTCTTAAGAATCAAGTAATGCTTTCCATAAAAAGCAAGGAGGGGCTTTTTTGCCTTTGCGCTGAACGGAGCCGGCTTGGGAATTCGCGCGAGGCGCACAAAACCCACTCCCCCCTCCCCACCACCACCTCCTCGGATGATCGGTTCCCCCCGTCGCGTACATCGATACAACCGAGTTCAAAGGCAAACGACAATAAAAACTGCCCCCGGTCTTAAGTTGTGCAGGCTAAGAGAGTTTCAGACAAGCTGCGGTGGAAAGCCACTGTTGAGAACCCCAGTGAAGCACAGGGACACGGCACGGCCACTTTGGGTTTTGGAGTTCGAGAAAATTGGAGTAAAAAGCTGTTTTTTTTGTGCAATGCTCTAGGAAGACCCAAAATCATGATAGCCGTAGCAGTCTGTGAAAAAGTCACCTACAAGAGGGGGAGACAGAGCAGAGAAGAAAAATTAGAATTCTTTTGAAGATGGCCAAATGCGCCACGTTTGAAAGTCATGTTTTAGATTTCTCTGCTCCTGTCACCCCCCAATGAAGGCTCCTGCTCAAGACCAATGGTGTTTTCAAGGAAAATCACGTTCAAAAGCGTGGCCGATAGCTTCGCGTGGCTTAAAGCAGAGAAATTTAAAAGATTCACAGTTCGAGAGGAAACGTGAGGCCGCCTGCATTCGCGTTTTGACTTTTAGAGGCGTACACCGAGCCATCTTTCAGCGTTTCGCATTCAAAAAGAGAAGAGAGAGCGCGCAACCCCTAAGCGGGCGTAAGCGCGTCGCCGCACGGCGCGACCCGGTCCGAGCGTCGCGCCCCC